GCAAACAGGGAGTTCTAGATTTAGCCCTTCCAAAGAACACTTCCCTGAAGAGGGACAGGTTGGTAGAGAAACAGATCAGCTTCCTTGTCCTTTGGGGGTCTGGACTGATTCTGGGTACACGCTTGCTCATGAGACCCCCAGCAGGACTGAGTCCCAGGTGCCCACAGCAGTGCCTGCAACATCCCTCCCACAGTATTTCCTTACGAAGGCAAAATCCAGAAGTATTATCTGAGGCCTCCGCGCACCCACGTCTACTGCCCGCTCTACGGGCCTGAGGTGGGCATTTTGTGACGGCTCATTATTTCCCAATCGCAGTGGGTGAGCCTCCGGTGCCCCTGCTCCTGGGTTTGGAGAATTTGTGTCACATGCTTGTCCCGATGGACTGATGTTCTAACTGGGGCCTCTGTGCCAAATGAACAGTATCTGCCATAGAAAGGAAGGGGGACGGAGAGGTCTCTGGGTGCGAAAACCGGTCGCCATTCCTTTGCCAGAAGATGTCAGATCCTTCCAGAAGCAACATGCAAGAGCAGGGTTGAATCCTGACCCCATCACTTGATGGCGGGATACGTTTGAACAATTTATGAGGTCGCCTGAGCCTTTGTTTTCCGCCTTGCAAAATTGTAGTGAGAATGATACGTACTTCCTGTGAGCCCTTGGAGGCAGCTGTGTCGTGGATGCAGAAATGAATGGCTCTCTCTGGGAGATAAGCTCGGGATCCCAGGACAGCAGTGTTTGGTGAGTCCCCCAAGCCCACCCGGGGTGGGGTTTGGGGTTTGGAAGGGAAGTGCCCGCTGGGGGCGTCATCCAGGAGAGCTGCCTCCACGGCTCCCCATCACCTGAGTCTGCCTCTCTTTCCTCCTCCTGCCATTTCCCCCTGTTTTTCCTTTCTTGCTTCTGTCTTCTCTCCCCCTCCTTTTCTCTTCTCACTCATACTCTTTCTCTCCTTCTTCCCTAATCCGTTTCCCTCCTTCCCCCCTTCCCTGCAGCAGGGTCTTCTGACGGGTCACAGTCCTTGAGCTCTGGGGAACCAGCTTCTGGGGGAAGGAAGCCTTTCAGACCCCATCCTTCCTTCAGCGTGCACCAGGGCAGGCTTCTTCCACTCCCTGGGTATGTAAATTCAGACGGATGAGGATCATTGTAATCACTGATTTCATCTGTATCTCTTAGTTCCAGTTGAAGTAAGGCGCTCGGTACCCCGCGGGGTGCTAGGGCCAGCTCCTACTGGCTTGTAAGACCTGATTATTAAACGCTCAGGAGTTTTGCAAGTGGCTGATACCACACCGGTAGCTTGAAATTGGCCTTAGTGAGTATTTACACTACAGAAATTGGCAAACACTGCAAATCGGGGATTTCCTTTTTCCCAGAGAGCTGTTTGTTAAACATTTAACAGACACCACTGTATGAAATGGAGACAGCAGGACAGGGACTGATTTGTACAGAAAGGGGCCCTGCCTTCCAGGAACTGCAGAGTGAGCATGGTGATGCTGGAGAGAATGTCACTGGTCCATAGTCAGGGGATACATTTCACTTTCCAGGTGAGTGAACAGGACAAGTCACTTTCCTTCTCTGAAACTCAGTTTCCTGTCTGCTAAATGGGGATTCCAACAGCAATACCACCTACCCTTTCTCACTAGATGATCAGGTTACTCACCAGAAATGATATATGTGGGAAAAAAAAATTGTGATCTCTATGGAGCTGTTCCCATCATCACAGAAACATCTGGGAAGTGTGAGACCATCATCCTCTTGAACGCTTCCAAGAAATGATTTAACCACACATAGCACCTGTCTGAGAAACCACTGGAAGCTGAGTTCTGCCTCACCTGGTGAGATGAGGCAACCTGGAAGGAGGTTGGCAACACGACCCTGCCTTCTGTTCCTCCTCAGCCCTCGCAGAGTATGACTGAGCAGGCAGGGACGGCGGGGCTTGGCGAACCTCTGGTGAGAACATTGTCAAAACCGTGCTCATGGGTGGGGGCAGAGAAGGTTCTGGCCTGCCTGACCCACCGTGAGAGGGCTGTGGGATTTGGGCAGCCAGTTGCATGGTTCCTTGGAATGTCCTTGATGGGAGAGGAGGAGTGGCTACTCCAAGCCAGGCACCATGTTAAGCACTGCCCATGTGGGTTGACAACTAAAATCCAGGCCACCCACTTAAATCTGAGTGGCAGATAAATAATGAGTAGTTTTTCAGCATAAGTATATCCCAAATATGGCATGGGACATACTTTTTTTTTTTTTTTAATTTATTTATTTGACAGAGAGAGACAGCACCAGCCGGGGAGGCGGGCGGCAGAGGGGGAGGGAGAAGCGGGCTCCCCACGCTGACAGACTCCCCACGAAACAACTTGCTTTGTTTGCTAAATCCGGCAACCCTTGGTCTTATTTCCAGTTAAGCCTCTCAATTAACTGTAGCTAGTTGTCGCTATTCGCGTTCTTATTTTACGGGAAAGGAACGTTGGTGAGGCGCCTGGCTGGCTCAGCATCTGACTCTTGATTTTGGCTCCGGTCACGGTCTCAGGGTCGTGAGATCGAGTCCGCTGCTGAGCTCCATGCTCAGTGTGTGGCCTGCGTATCCCTCTCCCTCCCATCTTTTGCACTTTCTCTCTCTCTCCAGAAAATGAATAAATAAAATATTTAAAAAAAAAAAAAGACAAGGAAAGGAAACTGAGCAAAGAGCTTACAAACCACAGAGCCAGGGCTTGAAGCCAGGGCTGTGGGGGAGGTACTGGTCCCAAAGCCCAAGTCACAGCCATTGTGTCAGATGGTCTCCTGCGTCAGCCTGAAGTGACTGATCCAGTCCGTCTTAGTTTCCTCATCTGTGCTCAGGGACCGAACAGTGGCTGCTTCACAGAAGCAAGGATTGAGTAAGTTCCTGCGTGTCAAGGCCCACGCCAGCACCTCATCCATGCCTGGCGCTTGGCACACGATCAAGAGATGTTTAAGAAAACTGCCTCTTTAACACAAGATAATGATGAGCCTTCCATGGGTGCTTTTTTAGAATCGTGGTGGCATCCCAGGAAAGAAGGCTGGGCAGGCATTGCCCTCAGATTCCTAATGTGTGAGGCACAGAGAAGTCACGTGGGGTCCACAGGGGTTCAGGGCTAGAGCCGGGATTAGAACTCTGGCATACTATTTCCGGTCCAATACTCATTTCCTTGTAAGACCACCACTGTGAGCCAATATCTCTGTGGGGACAGAGAAGGCACAAAAAAAAGTTTTAAAACCATCATAGGAGTCCCCTCTCTGTGAGGAGAAACAGATTATGGCTTTTCCATCTCATGTTTCCCCCTTGGGTGTGTGTGTGTGTGTGTGTGTGTGTGTACAGGGCTAAAATTCAAAATAAACTCAGAACAGACTCCGGTACCAGTGCTGGGATAGGACTTGAAGACCTGTCCCCATAGGCCATGCATTAACCCTGGAATGGCTAGATACTTAGGAGGTCCAGGGGCCTGGGGGTCCAGAGGGAGGGGCAGCGGCAGCCTGAGGCCCTCACAAAGCTCAGGGCAGGGGCTCTTCACCAGCCAAGATGGACAGCAGTCAGCCACATCCATGTGTGTGGTGAACCTCAGACCCATGTACTAGAATGTTCATTTAATCGACTATCTTCCCCAACAAAAAAAGAAAGACTGAGGGATGGCGTGTTTTATCCATGCTTGTTGAATCCCCTGAGATGGTGCAGGAATCCTAACTGTCTCCACTAAACCATCGGATCTGCCAAGGCCACCGTCTGCCAATCACAGGGGAGCCTTGCCACCTGTCTCCTAGAACCCCATGTTCTAGGAAAACTGTGTTTTCAGCAAATCTAGAATAACTGTGTTGTGCTGCCTCAAACAGTTAGAATAACTGTGAAAGAGTCCTGGAGTGGACCTCAGGGGGCTTAGATGCTGATCCAGGTGTATCCCCGGTTACGGGACCTTGGGCAAGCCACTTCCTGATCTTGGTTTGCAGAATGAAAGAACCTGATGGTATCTTAGCCAAGGCTCTTTTGGTTACAAATGAAAGACAACAGCTCAAACAGACTAAAGCTAAAACCTGGATTTTTAGGACTCACATACAGAAAAGTTCAGAAATACATTGGCTTCAGGTACAGCTGGATCCAGGGTCTCAAAAAAGCTCCTATGATTTGGTCTTTTCCTCACATTTTCCTACTCATGCTCACTCTATTTGGAGACTCCAGGAACTGCAGCCTGATGTTATCCATACAGCCAGCAATTCCATCCAAAATAGGCCTTTTCTATCCCAATATATCAAAAACAAAACAAACAAACAAAAAACCCTCATTAGACTGCTTAGAGTTATGTGTCCATCCTAAATAAATCACAGGAATTAGAGGACCTGAATTTGCCCATTGACCAGGGCTGGGCACCAAGGGCCAGGTCAGCCCCATCCAAATGTCTGAGGATTCAAGAGAGTAAGTTTCCCAAAGAAATCCAGAGTGAGTAAAAGAAGTGAAAAGGGAGGCCAGGAAGGCAGGAATAGCAGATATCCCCTACCGATGGCTCTGAGGAGACTTCTGGTTCTAACAGTCCATGGCTTTAGGGAATACCGTTTTCTGCATTCTGTCCTTTGGTAACTTACAAAGAGGAGTACACGGGGGAGAAGTTTAGGTCCTTACTCCTTCTCCTTTCACCTATTTCATCAATGTCATAGGACCCCCAGGGAAGAGAGCAAAATAAGGAGCTGACCTTGTAGAAAGTCAGAAAGCCACTCTTGAGGGGGATTTATGGAAGACATTCTGGCTCATCCTTCCTGAAGAGTGGGTCTCCATGCAAACAATCCCAGTACCGATGACGACACACAGGGAGGGATGAACGCCGTCCGCTGCCCTATGAGCAGCCCCACTTCCACATTACAGAGCAACTCCCTTCTCACTGCATTCACCCTGAAGAGTCCTTTGGTCCTTAAATCAAGTTCCAGGCTGATTTGTATGCTGTAACGGTGATACTCACCGTCTGGCTATAACCAGATCCAAACACCAAATGGTGAACTTGTTTGAGAAAGTGCAGTTTTGTGAGCAACAGTAGAAGGGAAAATGTTAATAAAGGGCAGTCTGCTGAACGGAGGTTAAATACTTTCATACTTCTCAGCTAACCCAGAAACTTCCCTGAATTCTCATTAAAATTTTTTTTTAAAGTTCTCTGTAATCTGATGTTTTACCTCATTAAATGCTGCAATTTGAGAAGCAAGAAAAGGACGAGTTGAAAATTGGCACCTGGTTCAGGTCACTGAGTTGTTACTCTGTGCCTGGTTCCCCTGTCAGGGAGGGCTTAGCAGAATGATGGGGAACCAACGAGGCAGGGTTCGAGATTTCCTGGGGCCTCTCTCAGTCCCAATCCACAATAGTCCTTCTGGGCCTTTGCTCCATAATTCTCCACAGCTGCTCAGGACCATTACGTTCTGCCCCCTGACGTTCGGGGATCTGCCGCCATGTTGGTTTTTGAAGCCTGGTTAAAAAACTGAGAAATCCAGAAGCGGTCAGTACCTCTTCTTTGGAAGTATTTGATTTCCTTTCTCTCTGTCCCTGACTCATTTTCTCCTTACCCTTCTATACTTCTACTGTTATTTCTTCTTTGAGTTTTTTTTTTTCCCTTCTTCAGTGACAATACTGAAATTTCTAGTAAGAAAATATGGACCAGAGACACCTGGCTGGCTCATTCGGTGGAGCGTGAGACTCTTGATCTCAAGGTTGTAAATTCGACCCCCACGTTGAACGTAGAGATTGCTTACAAATAAATTCTTTAAAAAAAAAAATGGACCAATTTTAAAAAGTAACTAGTGTAATATACCCAAAACTACTGAATTGTACACCTTAAGTAGGTGAATTGTGTGTCATGGAAGTTATATCTCAATAAAGCTATTTTGTTGTTTTTTTAAAATAATAATATTTTTTTAAAAATTTATTTGAAAGGGAGAGAGAGCACAAGTAGACAGAGCAGCAGGCAGAGGGAGAGGGAGAAGCAGACTCTGGGCTGAGCAGGGAGCCTGACGTGGGGCTCAATCCCAGGACCCTAGGATCATGACCTGAGCCGAAGGCAGTTGCTTAACCCACTGAGCCACCCAGGCGACGCTGTTTTTGTTCTTTTAAAGAAAAGTAGGAACTACAATCTGGTTCAGTGGGATACAGAAGCTGTATTTGCATAGCAGGGTTGGTAAGACTGGGTAATCACTAGCGACGTCCTCAAGTGAAGACCGGGTGGCAGACTCACTCACTTGAGAGTAGCAGCTGCTCTCCTGTCTTTCTTCCAAGGGCAAAAATGGCAGATGAGTTTGAACTTCTGGCCAAAACTGGGCAGGGAGTGGGGGTGTGTGTCCTGTGTACAGAGTACATTTATATAGGGGACAATCTTTTTCTTTTTTTAAGATTTTATTTACTCATTTGAGAGACAGTGAGCAAGAGAGAGAGCACACGAGCAGGGACAGAGGGAGAAGCAGGCTCCCCGCTGAACAGGGAGCCCAACCTGGGGCTCGATCCCAGAATCCTGGGATCATGATCTGAGCTGAATGCTGACACTTAACCAACTGAGCCACCCAGGCGCCCCTAGCGGACACTCTTTCTACTGCCACATAAAGTCCCATCTCCTAAGTATCCCTGTGTTTGGAATCTCAAAGGTTAAATTCAAGTAACCAAGGCTTGCCTTTCTCAGAACTAGCAGGTTAAAAGGTATATGACTCATAATTTGTCAGGGACAATTTGCTTTTATCTGTCTTTTTCCTTATTGACATCACTTCCCCTGCCTATCCATATCTCAGAGGTGGCTGTGGGATTTGGCAACACAAGCACAACCATGTAAAGCAAAGTTTTACAGTCTCTCGTTTGAGTGTGGTGGCCGTACTCGAAGAGAAGTCTCAAGGCTCACCTACGTTACCCCCAGCTTCCACGCACCACCTGCCCCAGAGCCGCACACACTCTCAGCTCTGTATAGGAAATTCACCACTTTATGGCCCCACATAAAAGTGCCATTCTGAATAAACACAAAGGCAATCAAAGGCTCTCGAGCTGTTGGTCTTAAATATCAGTCATGCTTCATCGCAGGCATACAAGACCTGTTCCTTGCATGATATCATCATATAAAGAGTGAGGGCCTTAGGGGCATCTTAATGAGGTGATAATGAGGAAGAAAATGTTCTGGTTTGGGGGGGGGGCTGCTGGTATTCACCAAAATGTTCAAAGTAGGTTTAATCTTACATTGGACTTTTTTGCTATACAGTATTTACAAAGAAGAGGGAGAGAAATGAAGATGGCATTGAGGTAGGGGTGTATAAGTGTGTGTGTGTGTGTGTGTGTGTGTGTGTGTGTGTGTGTGTTTTGAATCTTTCTTAATCTGCCTTTCATTACTCTTGAAGATCTGCCCAAAATATCATAAGGCTTTTCTTTAGATACAGATTACCCAAGTCCTAGAGCAATGGCTCCAAAGAGCTTCCTTTTCCAATATCCAGTGTTCTTTTTGCTCCCTTCCTCTGCATTTATGCTGTCTTCCTTGCCGTATTATGCCATTGCTGTTTTTGCTTTGTTTTCTAAGATGCCATTTGTTACTCTTGAAGACCTGCCATTATTTCAAAATCTTTTCTCTTTACATGATCCATCATGAAGCAATACGGTGAGCGAGCTTCCTACTTGGCTGTACAGATGGTCTTTATTCTCCCTTCCTCCTTTTTTCTTTTCAAACACTTGGAATAATCAGACAGTTGAGAAAGTTCTTTGAAATGGGAAGTAACAAACTTTGCCCCAGTGTTTTAACCTCTTTGAGGGAAGAAAGATAGTCTAGAAACCAAGGTGGCATTATCGTTACTACTGAATAAGAACAATATGTGAGTAAAATCATTCATTCATTCATTTGTAACTTAAATATTCCTCTGGAAGCATGCGAGGTCTTATTTATGTTGAATGCCCAAAATTACCTGGGGCACCTGGGTGGCTCAGTTGGTTAAGTGTCTGACTCTTGATTTCACTCAGGTCATGATCTTAGTTAGGGTCGTGAGATCGAGCCTGGGGTTGTTCCACAGGGAACATGGAGCCTGCTTAAGAATCTCTCTTAAGGGGCGCCTGGGTGGCTCAGTGGGTTAAAGCCTCTGCCTTTGGCTCAGGTCATGGTCTCAGGGTCCTGGGATCGAGCCCCACATCAGGCTCTCTGCTCAGCAGTGAGCCTGCTTCCTCCTCTCTCTCTGCCTGCCTGACTGTAGTCTCTGTCTGTCAAATAAATAAATAAAATATTTTTAAAAATAAAAAAATTTTTTAAAAATTTAAAAAAAAGAATCTCTCTTAACCTCTCCCTTTTCCCCTCCCCTGCCTACAGGCATGCTCTCCCTCGCTCTCAAAAAAAAAATTATGTTTGCTCTAAGTCTTCACTCAGTTTTCTAACATGTTTCCCCAGTATTTTTTTTTTCAAGTGATTCTCCTATCCAAAGAATTTCAAAGTTCTTTTAGTCATGTTCATGAATCAGTTTTTGATTTTGCTCTCTTGCTGCCATTGGCAGTTAATTCAGTCCACAGTCAACCATCTGTCCGTCTGTCCATCATCCATCCATTCATCCATCCATGCATACATCCATCTGCCCATTCATTCAGCAAATACTGAGCAGGAGCTAGGTACTCGGGGAGGTGGCTAGCTAGGGATACAGTGGTAAGTCAGGATATCCACCCTCTGAGAGGAGATAGTCTGGGGAGGGATATAGACAAAGAAACAGACAACCGTCTAACAGTGTCAGGTCCAGTGCAGAGCTCACTGAGAGCACAAAGGAGAAGATGGCCAAAGGAAACTGCTGGCCAGAAAATCTCAGAGGGAAATACTATCTACACCGAGACCTAAAGAATAAGAAGAAGGAGGAGGGACAGAGGTGTGATATTTTTTCAGAAAAAAAAAGAAATTCCACAGATGTATGCACTACTTTACTGAGCACAGGAATTCACCTTGCTGAGCCCTGAATCTCCTAAGTAATGACAGATTTTCACAGAATTTTCATAGACGGAAAATGGATTTGGAGACAAAAAGTCCTCAGTGACTTAGGACAATTTGCTTAAACTTTTTGGGGCCTCATTTGTAATAAGAGCAAAATAATAATTCCTAGCCTACCATGTTGTTGGAACAATTACATGTGTTACAGGCAAAGTCCCCAGCACAGGAGAGGCTGTTGCAAATGGCAGATTTTATTATCATGAGAAGCACAAAAACATATCTTGGTTCTTAAGGGTGGAGGTAGGGTTGGGGTATGCACGGGGAAGCTTTTAAAGAGAAAAAAAAAAAAAAAAAGCAAGGACAAATAAACAAACACACCCAGACTCTATCCCATGAGATTCTGAGTCACTAGGTCTGGGGTGGGTCACTAGCATCTGGAATTTTCTAAAAGCTCCATAGGTGATTCTGGTATTAAGCTGTGGTTGTGAACTGCTGCCTACTTTCATTCTATAGCTGCCATTTTAAGTACGTTAAAACCACAACTGAGAACATAGTAACTATGATTTAAAGTAACTATTAAAACAGAGTTGCAACAGCCTGCTGATGACCAGCCACCGGCCTCCCTGGGTAATTGACAAGGGACTTAGGAATCAGTGAAAGTGGAACTGCAGAATTTCTCAGGCTCTTAGAAATGCTGTCTGCAGAAATGTCTGGCTTGAGTCAGAGTGGAATTCAGCTGTCCTATTTCTCTTGACTGACCACCATAACCCTGTGGTAATTGATCTAGTAAATTAGTAACTCATATCATACAGCAGCTTAAACTTTCTGGAGTTCACCATTCCTTGCTGAAAATAGACATCTGGCGGTAGAATTTCCAGCATAACCAATAAAAAGGAATTCAGACAGTCGTTTGCTCGTGAAGTCTCAATATTTCAATTCCGAGTCTGAAATCTCAGTTGTTGAGGGTGGAATTCTCAACAGTGTGTTTGTAAACGTTCCCTGAATGGAGGGCGTCCTGGTTCTTTGTCTCTGATTCACTTCCTCCCTGGCAGATAATACAAAGGCAATATTGCTGAAGTTGAGATTTGCCTAGAACATGGGGAGGGAGAATTCACTACCTACAGCTTGCTGGAAAAATGTCAGGAATTAGCGAATTTTGATCTTCAGAGGTGGCTTTGTTGCTCTGGAGAGAGAATAAGATGAGACTAAATATTCTTTTTAAATTTTTTTTAATATATTTATGTACTTTTTAAAATCAGCTCTAATCCAATGTGGGGCTTGAACTCACAATCCCAAGATTAAGAGTTGCATGTTGTACTGATTCAATCAGCCTGTCACCCCAAGAGGAGACTAAGTATTCCTTTTTTTTTAAGATTTATCTATTTATTTTAGAGAGAGAGTGCAGAGGGAGGGCAGAGGAATAGGGAGAGAGAGAGAATCTCAAGCCGACTCCCCATTGAGTGAGGACCCCCCTCCCACCTCCAAGGATGCTGGGATCGATCCCATGACCCTGAGATCGTGACCTGAGCTGAAATCAAGAGTCGGATGCTCAAATGACTGAGCCACCCAGGTGCCTTGAAACGAAATGTTCTTGATTTGACCTGATCATTCTGGAAAAGAATAAGCCTAGTGTATAATTATCCAAATATGGTCTAAGGAACCTCCCTGAGGATCAGTTGAGGGAAACCTGCACACCATCCCAGCCTCACCCGATCTGAATTTCTAGGGGGTGAGGGCCAAAACCTCTCGGGTGATTTTTATAGTCACAATCACCTTATGACAAAAAGGTGAAAATCTCTTGTACACGTGTATTTTGCCACCGTGGAATTCCATCCCTGCATTTAGATTCCCACAGAGAAATCCCATTCGCTTTTTAGTCTTCAGTTTCCCTTTTTATAAACGGCACTAATACGTATAATAATTAAAAGGGGACTTTTAATTCCTGTCCTTCTTAACCTCAAAAACCAAATACGAAAATATTCTGAAAACTAAAAATGCACAGTCCTTTCATTAAAGTCATTTTCTAGACGATGGATCTGCAGGTCAAGGTGCCTAGCTAACTTTTTTTTTTTTTTTTTCTGGCCAAATGCTCACCAGACTTCTTAATTTGGCTGTTTTTATGTTTATTCAGAAGGAGGAGGACGTTTCCATACCCGGTGAGCCATCTAGCCCTAAGCATAAAGACGATGGTTCTGAGGTTGCAAAGACACAGAGATCACTCAATCCCTCACCCATCAATCTGGAGCTGCATAATTCACATCTAGACCTGCTACCGAAGATGGGGGACCAGTTCCTGAATCTGTTCCCTGAAGCCTATTATGTTATCCACATCCCGGAAGCAGCTTTATCCAGAGCTTTCTCAAACCAAAGCCGTGTCCGCTATCTCTAACTGCTTGCCTGCTGAGATTTTTTTTTTTTCCTTTTCTTTTACTGGCAAATAAAAACCTGTCTGTAGAGTAAGCCAACGTGATGCATTTTTGACAGTCCTTTCCTAATATTCTAATCTCTCAGGCCCCAGACATGAGTCTTCAATAGAGGTGGAAAGGCGTTGTCTCAAGTTTAATTGATATATAAGAACCCTCTATTATCTGCCTTCTGTTATCCATCTGAGACTTCTGTCTAAGTAAGCAGGGGGGCTGTCTCCTTCACAAGCTGCATTCCTTGGCAGTCTCCGAAGTGTATACAGGGCCGCTGGAGCTGGGGTGATGCCCAAGTAGGCCTGCGCACGGCTGCCCTCGAGGTCCGTCACCTGCGATCTCTGCAGGGCTTTTCTGGGGCACAATCCTCTGGGTGTCCGTCCAGTTTTTGTTTTTGTTTTTACTTTGAATAGATCTGTTTTCTAGCTCTGGGGGAAAGAGCCACGGATGACAGGATCGTGGAAAGTCCTTATTGACCAGGGTAGGAAATGAGGAAAGACTGGGGGAGAGGGACGAGAAAGGGAAGAGGGAGAGAAGGAGACCCAAGGTTTAACCTCTTTGGAGATTAGTGATTCCCCAGGGCTAAAAAGTGGCCTCACCTGCATTCTGCTCATCTGCCCACTCATTCATTGCGTTCATTTGTTCCCAGGCACGGTGTGGGGGGGTGGTGGTTGTGGGCGTGCTCTGTGGCCTCCTCAGATGGAAGTTGCTTAGCACACTACCACAGCCTGGGTTTGTAGCCATAGTGTTTAAGAGCTGGGGAAGTTTTCCTTGGGCTTTGTTTGGGAGAACAAAGGACCAGGAGACAAATCCTGCTGAAGCAACAGGGCAAGAAAATCCAGTTCCACCTGGCTCCTCCTTGAACAGGCTCCCACCCCTTCAGGGGCAGATGGGGGCAGTCAGAGCCCCTAACCACTGCTTTGGCAAGGAAAATCCTGGAGTCATTTGATCCAGGCTTTCAGAGCTGCATTTTACCAGGAACAAGAAGGTGCCCTCCAGGAGTTAACCCTTTCGTTCTCGAGGACAGGATGGAAACCATTCAAGGTACTGAAAAGTCATGTTGTATGAACTTGGAAACAACCATGAGGATGTGATGATGGTAATGGTTTGTGGCTCTCATTCATTCGGCCTCTGCCATGGGAGGCACTATGCTGCATGTTTAACTTGTATGAGTTCCTTGCGTCCTCACAACGTGTGAGGTAGATACTGTTATTATCCCCATTGTACAGATTAGAAAACTGAGGGTCACAAATGTTAAGAATCTTCTTCAAAGTCATCCCACTGGTAGGTAGTAGAGCTGGGCCAGTATGTGTATATCTTCTTTCTCCATTCCTTTCATTCACAGGAATTATAAAATAAGTTGTGCATACTTCTACTCAAAGCATTCCATGTAGCTCCTACTCTATGTCCTTCTGGGTCAGATTATCTGGTAGTTCTCTGTGTCTGGTCTGATTAGACTGTCTTGGTCCCAGAAGTCTTCAAGTTTCCTGTGCTAACTAGTGAAGGGGGTACAAAGGAAATGTGAGCCTGAGGATTCTTTTGGCCAGTGTCTCGAGGCCACCCAAGGACCACCTAGCTTTTTATCCCTGAAAACTCAAGGACTCGAGATCCCAGTGGGGTAGGCACAGGCAGTGAGTGACAGGGATGAAAGAACAGATAAGGACAACAGAAGAAACACAAAGGAAACCCATGAGAGTTAAGGAGAAAGCAAAGGTCGTCCTGATTACCAGCATGACATTTTTTCAAATTCTTCAGTGGTGACCAAGTCCTGCTCTCTCAAAGAGGGAGGAGGAGCAACCCGAAGGTCTTTAGAGCCACATCTGGGAAACCAGGCTAGGGACAGAGGTCAGAGATGCCTTCACATGGTAAACAAAATGAAACAAAACAAAACCCATGACAACTGATGAGTTTTTAGGGAATTGTGGAACATGACACAACTCTGGAATGAATGTCTTACTTCCTTTGAAAGAACAGTTTCTACCTAGATGTTTCTACATGGGTGTCTCTGTTAACAAATCGAATGTAAGACTTCCTTATTCCATCCTCTTTGGGTGCTTGCCTCCCAAGCAGCCATCTGAGTACCTGGAGTTGAACAGACACTCGCTAAAGATGTATGGTTGAAATGACGAGCACAACACTTACGTCGGACAGGGATTGAGTTTGGGAGAAAACAGAGCAGCCCAGGAGGACATAGGAGTACCAGTGGGCAGGCAGCAATGGCTACACCACTGATTAGGGTGGTAGAAAAGGGAAGAATGGATGGTCTTGGTTGAAAAGTCTAACCACGTAGAAAGAAGTGTCAGGTAAGAACTCTAAATCTGGAGAATGAAGCCAGATTATAAACCAGAAGTCAAAACAGAGAAAAGGCCAGGATTGGTGCCTGAATATCAAGGAAGGATCCAGGCATTACCGCATGTTGGGAAGCATCTAGGCTTTGGAGTTAGATAAACTGAGATTGAAATCCTTCTTCCACTACTTAATGGCCTGAACTTTGGTTTAGTTATTCCTATCTGCAAAGAAAAAGTCATAAAGCCAATCTTATGCTGATTTTTGCTGTATAAGTAAGTATCTTAATAATAGAGTAGCCTAAAACAACAGCTGTTTTAGTATATCTTGCCATTCTAGGCGGGACATGGCTTGGCGATTCTTCTGTTCCATGTGGCATCAGTTGAGGACACGTGGTGGGATACAGCTGGCTGGTAGTCTGCTCTGGAGGTTCTTAATGACATCATCACATGTGTGGGGACTTAGCAAGCATGATTGGGAGACTGGCCTCAGCTGGAATTGTCAAACCGAGCACATACACCAGGACTTTCAACATGGTGGTCTTAGGATAATCAAATTTCTTCCATGGCTCCAGCGAACAAAGAGAAAGCTGCACTACTTTTTAAGACTGAGCCTTTCACTGTGTTCTGTTGGTTAAAATACTCATAACCTTACCCAGATGCAAGAGAGAGAGAGAAGAGAGTAAGAGAGAGACATAGATCCCACCTCTTTTAAAAAAAAAAAATACTAATGAATCATTGTATTTAAGAGAAAAATCAGATTGTTATTGTTTACGCATACACCTTCACAAATTATTGTTGAGCTCAATGGTTATGCAACTTTATATATTAAATATAAGCAAAAGGACCAGTTACAAAAGAACAACCCCATCTCTTGATGGAAAAAGGATTAAAGAATTTGCAGCCATGTTGTAAAGTCCATATAGTACATCAGGGTAAAGATTAAATGGAAAACATTTAGCACAATGTCTGATACACAGTAGGTGCTTATAATATTAGTGTGTCTTCCTCATCTTCTGCTCACAGGAGAAGAAAAATCTAAGTGTATGATGTGGATTTTATAACAAGAGGAGCTGTACCAGGTTAGGATGTTTTAGTCAGAAGTAACAGAACATTTACATAAAGTGCCTTAAACAATAAGATCTTCTATTACCTTATATGACAAACCAGTTGGAGTCAGAGTGATGCCAGGGTTGGTCATTTAGTTGCTCAATGATATCTTTAACGAAGCAGGTCATTCCCATTTTTCATTTTATTATCCTCAGCCTGTGAACTCACCTTCTTCTGTGAGATTCCCCTCATAGTCTCAAGATGGCAGCTACAGTTCTGGGAGTCTTATGAGCGTGAGGGCATCCTCCAAGCTCTGTATTCCTTCTCATGAGCAAGGAAAACTTTTGGAGAGGCTCCCCAGCAGACATTCCCTCACATCTCATTGGTTCAAGTCCAAACCATTCATTTGGCAAGAAGGATGAGACCACCATGATTTGCTTAGATCAGTCAAACTTCAAGGTCCTGGGGCTAGGAGAATTCCAACTTTCCTGATAAGCTGTAATCACTGGGGTAAGGTGAACAAAATCAGGTTTGTTCTTATCCAGAAAGATAGGTGAGAATATATTGTGCAGATAGCCAAAAGTGCCCTCTACCATGCACCCCATGGTTTATTCATCTTACTCTTTGTTCTCTACATGGCCCACCATGTGGGAGGGCACCAGTCATGGCTCAGAGCTTGACCATGTTCTTGGAGGATGTTGGAGGTCATTCTCTTAGATATTGCTGACAGGAAAAAGAATGAGGGGGAGGAGGATGCAAAGATATGAGGAGAAATCCAGACCCAAAATATCTGAGACACTGGGTCTGAACCAAGCCAGTAGAATAGAAACTTTAAAAGGCGAGGGACTAGACTTTAGTGTGATCATCACTGTTAGCCGTCTTTTAATTATTCTGGATGAGGCCAAAACTGGCATTAGTATATAGGTAGAAATTATCTCCACCTTTATAGAAGACAAATATTGAAAAAGAGGAAGGCTGACCTTCTGGCCCCATTTTCTTGGAATGGAACCTGAAATCTCTGGATGGCAGCTACTGAAAGTCTCTTGGGAACTTCTGAACTTAAATGATAGGAATCAATTTACTGTCCCTTTACCTGGTTCCCAATTGCCTCTAGAATAAAGACCAAAATCCCCAACTCGGTCTCTGAGGTCTTGTGTGTTCTAGCCAGGGCCCTAGAGCATAGTTGTATAGGTGGCCAATGAACAAGAGTGCTTGGCTGAGAGGTAAGTGAGGGCTGAAATCCCAGCCTTCACTCCAGTTGCCAAGCTATGCACCCCCAGGTCTTTGTGGGCTCAGAGGGGTTGCCTCAAGTAGTGTTATTGGGCTTCTAGCAAGTTCTGGATCTAGCACTTGCTCCCTTTTCCATTCTCAGCTTGCAGAATAGTACTCCAAGTTGTGCTCTTTTCCACTGACTTTCTCATAGTTCCTCATACATACTGTTATCCACAACGACAGAACAAACCACCCCAATACTCAGTGGCTTAAAGCAGTGACAATATTTGTTTTGATCACCAATGTGCAATTTGGGCAGGGGCTGGTGGGGGCAATTCATCTCTGTTCCGCTTGACATCAGCTCCAGAGGTTCAAATCATCTGAAGACTCATTTACTCGCATAATTAGAGGGTGATGCTCTTTGCCAGCTGGGCCATCAGCTGGGACTTTCCATGTGGCTGCATGGCTGCCCGATAGCATGGTGGCTAGGCCCCAAGGGAGCCAGGTGGAAGATTTTTAGATTTAGTCTTGGAAGTCATATGGCCTCATCTCTGTTGTAGTCACAGGCCCATCAAAATTTAAGAAGAAACAAAGACCCCACATCTTCATGGGTGAGTATCAGGATCAAATTGTAAGAAAAGCTGTGGGATACCCCATAGTGATATGGTGATCATTAAAAAATACAATCTGACACACACACCTTCTTCCTCAGGCCACAGGGCCTTTGCACATTCTATTTCCTCTACCTGCAACATCCGTTCCATCTTCCCCTCGTTAATGCCTACTTATCCCTTATATCTCAGATAAGTCATCATTTCTTCAGGAAAGACTTCCCAAACTCCCTGACCAGGTCAGTTCCCCCAGTTTATGATTTCTGATTCTAGTTACAGTTATATCTTATATATGTGCTTATATAAATATATAT